GGAAGGGATCCAATAGGGACAGAGCTTTGGAATCGATCCACGCAGTGAGCCAAAGGTGAAAATGTGCATGAGCTGCCACAGAATCTGACCTACATGCACCTCCATGTAATCAGCACAGCCAAGCTGACCCATGGCAAAGCCAGCTTGTGGGGAAACAAGAGTTTATTGCTACAAAACACTAAGATTTTTAGGTGGATTTCTACTGTGGCCTAATTGCTGGGATAAAATGGTTAGCTGCCAACTCCTTCCAGATTATTAGCCCTTCCAGGCTTTGGCCTATACATATCCTTCTGGTTCTGATGAAATTCTGTGCTATGTGTGGCAAAGAGCCTGGCCAGATTTAGGCAACAGAAGATCCTGTCTTTATATTAATAACTACCTACCGTGCACAAGACAGTACCTACTGTGCTAATCATAGACACTGTAATATCAAACTATAAAAGCTTGGTTCTTATGACCCCAAAGCTTACAGTGGAGCAGGAGAGAAAAATATCAATAAAAACATGGTTCATTAACTGAAATTGTGATGTATGCTCCAAAGGCAAAGCTTAAAGTGCTGTGAAATCTATAACCAGGTCTAAGAGAGTCAGAGAAAGTGCCCAAGAAAAATGCTATTTGGAAAAGAGATGAAGAGATGAAGGAAACAGCCATGTTCCAAGGGCCTGAGGTAGAACTACTCCAGAATAAGCTAGAAGAGCTGAAAGTGAGTTTGCTTAAATTCTAGAAGAAAGATGGGATGACATGTAGTACGAGGCTAGAAAATAGGTACAACTATTTTCACACAAACTAATAAGCCACAGGGATGGTTTTGCAACAGCAAGCCCTTGGCGGGTCTAATCCAAGGAGTGGCATGTCCAGATATTCCTAGTGAAGAGCTTGGAAAATGTATTGGAGAGAGGCCAAGAGACACTTGGAATATTAGCCCCAGAGAATACAGTGGGGCTGGAGAACATGTCACAGTCAGGAGCTACTGATTTCTCCCAATTTTCCAGCCTGAGCCATTACACAGAATGGTGTGCCATCTAATGAAGCACAAAGTTCCCAAGGGAGATGAAATCTGGGGTAGGAGAAAAAATCATGAGTACATGAAAAAGTTAAGTAAAAAGGCCTGTTTGTTCATTGGTTATAGTGTAAGAATTGCTCAGTTAAATCAGCACTCTATATGGGAATTTCCCAGTGTTCTCAAGCATTCTGTGTACCACAGTGCATCCTAAGGACAGTCAGTTCCCGAGGCCCACTTACTTCTATAAGATCCTATGTTATTCCCAACATGTGGAAAGCCTCTGAAACACAGCTCTGGGACACAGGTCTTGGGAGATATTATCTGAATGAAAGTTTCACCAGGACAAATAATTTCAAGAAATTCTAAGATTTTGTTTTCCTCATCTATGGTCACAAGGCCCAATATCATTTTGAAAGCCTATAGAGATGTCTGTTTTTTAAAAAAAGTGTATTTTTTCTAGGATTTTTTTGTACTTAAATTCCCCATATACACTTCCATATGCTAGAGCTTAGTGTTTCTAGAAGTACATCCCACAGGATGCTCTGTTAATAGCAGAGGGCTGAGCATTCTGTGGAATGTACTTCTGGAAACACCAAATTCTAGCATAAGGAAGAAGAAAGGTTCTGAAGTCACAGCTGCCTGGATTTCCATTCATTTGTTCATTGATTCCACAAATACTAATTGATAACCTATCACATGGAGTGCACTATTCTTCATACAGGGAAAAGAGAAATTAGGGAAAATGGTAAAGTTGTCTAGCCTTCTAAAGCTTATTTTCTAAGTGGAGAATGTGTTGATCGTTACCAGGAATGAAGTGCAGGGGATATTGCAAGCTGAAACCTACTAAGGAGGAGCATCAAGTTAGCAAGGAGGTGCTGAATGAGGAGTTGAGGGAGGTGCAGAAGGAAACCCTGTGACTAGTAGGGAGACCTTCTGGGCACAGGGTACACGGAGTTTAAAGATTCCAATCTGAACTAGGATTGAGAGAGCCTGAGGACAGGAGAGATATGGGGAGCCTCAAGCCTGGATACCAGCCCTTTGCAGTGTGGAGAGGAAGCCGCCTTCCCTGCACCTCCAGCTGGAGTGGATGATCATTCAACTTGCTTTCTAGGATACTGTGAAGCTCAAATAAGGCCTCTATGTACAATGCTTACTATAGGACCTGGCTCCTAGAAAACATCTGATAGGACTATTATTGTTTCCCAGTTAAGAGTACAAGCAGGAACTGTCCTACCAGGATTTGAGTCCTGCTGATGGCATTTGCTGCCTGGGTCATGTTCTACAGAAGACTCTGTCATGCAGCAGAACCTCAAAGTTAAAGGGACCCTGAGAACCAATGGCTGAAAACTTTTCTGCCAGCCTCCCCACAGAGGCCTCAGACGAGGTGTGGGCTTGCAGAAAACCGGAAGGAGTGCATCCTGCAGGCTAGTGTTGACTTCATGACTTCCCTCTTCTTTCTTCTCATTTAATTCTTCAAATCATCCTGTGAAGTATGTGATATTATATTTATAGTTGAGAAAATTGCAACTCTAAAAGCTGAATTCCCAAGTCTGAGGCCACATAGCCAATACAGCAGAGAGTTTGAAACTCATTCTGTGTGACTTCAAAACCCACACACCTTCCAGTACCCAATGCTACCTCAATGTTCCCGGAACACATATTTCTTTTATCTCTTCAGTAACACAGAAGTGTGGGGACTCACAAACAGTACCAAGTTCTTTGGGTGCTACTAAAATATAAAGTCTAAAATGCTACCCATCGAGTTTTTTTTTTTTATTCCAACTTTGCTAGGTCGATACATTACCACCATAAAAAGACCTTGCATAAAATCATGCTCCTGTTATTTAATAACATTTTGAACTTAAGAGCATCAATGCATTATCAATATAAGTGATTTGGATAAAGGGCATGACTATGCAGTACTCAGAACTAAATGTCAAAAAGAGGATGAGCAAGTAGAATTTCTTCACTGAAAGATTTCCTCATGTTCTTGCAGCTATAGTGGTGACACATTGGCTTAGAAAAGCACCCTGTAGTGACCATAGTACATTCAGCTGGTCTCAAGGGCTGCAAATCCCCTGCTACTCCTGCAGGAGACTCTGTGAGATCTTGGCCCTGCCTTTATCTTGAATACCACTGGCAGGAGCCTGGCAGGAAGTGTGACCTCACACTGGCTCTGCCTATGTTATGTAGGCGGTTTTTAAAAGAAAACAAGAAGGGGCAGGGTGGGGGGGCGTGAGGCTGCCTTTCCCAAGGACTACACATTCCTCCCTTCTAGGAAACAGTCGCCTGAGCACCAGACTTCTGCACACTGCAGTCATGTGCACAACAAGTATTAGGAGAGGGGATGGAAATTCCTTTTTCAAGAGGCTTCGGCACCTGTTGGCGTTCTGATGTTTTACTTTCAGTTGAAGAACAGCTCAGTCCTCGCTTTCTCTGCTATCAACCACAGGGAGCATCACATTTCCGTAATTATTTTGTCATTTATTAATTGGAAGAAGAGATCAGGGATTCCCTCCGGAAGGAGCACGTATGGGCAAAGTATTTTCCGAGCAACATGTGTTGCTTGGAAGGAACTGGTAAACAGACTCTGTTTTTTGAAAGGTTCTAGAGCTCTAACTGAAGTCGTTTTCACTGTTACTAATTCTCAATTAACTGTCAGCGTACTATCTTGTAGAGTGCCACTGATATTTATAAGACAACAACAAGACCTTACTTTCTGTTGCAGGGTTTGTTGGCTTAAAATGAGCTTAAAGGGCTGGGGACACAGCTCAGTGTGAGCCCTGGGTTCAATTCCCAGTACAAGGGGGAAAAAAATAAACAACACCTAGTGCTTGAAAAATACTAGCATTGGGCAATATAGGGTAATCTATGTTGGACAAATTGATATTATGTTGATCAAAAATGAAAATGACAAATGATATACTAATGTATTAGATTGTAAACAATATATTTTTATTACTAACAAGTGAAATTTACTAATGTGCGTTTTTTAGATTTAGAGATTTTTGTCCAAGGAATGCTAGCAAGTTCATTTAACATCCATGAAGGGTACTTACTGTAAGCTGAGTTCTATAATTCCTATCAAGGTTTTTATATAATTTATTAAAACAATAAGCATGGAGCTTGAGAATCACCTGATGAATTTTATTGTGTTAAAACCACAAAAACAATCCTTTGCACTTCAATAAGTTGGACAGAGGCGGTGACTCAGAAAATCATAGTCCTACTTCACAAAGCTATGAGTAGATTGATATTTACACATTTCAGTGGTCAATAGCAGGTAGATCTATTTGATGAGAGGTAAGTGATTTAAGATTATATAATTTATACACTTTTATGTGTGCTGAATTGGTAAACCAACAAGGTAAATTAAATGCTCACAGGAGCTGAGATCTGAAATCTTCCCAGTGTTATGCTATTTTTAGTGCAATGATGCTTATGCTATTTAGGAATGTCCAGCCTGATATCAGACTGATATTAACCATAAAGAAAGCCCTGACCCTCTGTGACTACCTGTCAGTGGCTCAAGTTGTTTGGGCAAAAGACAGACACCCTCCCGAGCACAGCTGGAAACTTGATAATGAAGTTGATCTGTGCTGGATGGTTTAAATACGAATCAGTTTGTTTGGAGTTTTCTGGAAGCAGTCATTTTTCAGACTTCCTGGTTAAATAACTCACTTTCATTATTATATTTGGATGACAAATCAACCTTTGTAAGTCTGGCTTTCCCAAGTAAGACATTATCCTTATTTAAAGAAAAAGATGATTCAGTGTCCCAAGACAATGGAAGACAGAACACAAAATCACTGAGGCAGATACAACCTTACAGAAACCCCACAATCTGGTCTCCTGCCTTCAATCCTATATCTCTGTACTATTTCAGTAAACAAATCTGACTAGTGCAATTAGTAGATGCCATCTGTTTTGGCATCATTTTTCCATTTTTGATATATAGTCCATCTTTTGCTTTTTTTTTTTTAAACATCTTTTGCAGAAAATCTGTGAAGTTTGAACAAGCGGCCTTCCCAAGATGTACCGAATATCTCAACTGATGTCAACACCAGTAGCAAGTAAATGTAGGAGAACTGCTATACGCAATTATCTTTTGAACGATTAGACGCCTTTTAGCAATTTCCTTGCTTTGATTTTGCTGATACTTAGACCATTAACCATCTGTCAGTAGCTTAGCTTCTTAAATGCCAGTGTGCGCCACCGTGATGATTTTGACTTCATTTCTTTCCTTGAGAGAAATGTGGTATTTTTTTTTTCGTAGAAAAAAATTCACTACTTTTTTAGATGCCTGTGCATAAATGTGAAAGGAGATTGTTTATCAGCTACTATTAAGATGCAAAACTGTCTATAAAAAATGCTGAATGATTTTGATAGCTACTTGCAGAAAATAAGGGCGTTGTTAAAAAACGGTAGTGGTTTCAAGTTTCTTCCTTCCTCTTGTTATTTTCTCCCCAAACCTCGATTCTAACCCTCCTTCACACACCCACGATTTTCTCCTGACAAATCAAACAGCCCAATCTGAAAGTCTAAATTCCTTTCTTTGTCTTGGTGATTGTCAGTCATGGAATCCAGTCTCTTGGAGCCTGTCTGTTATAAGTATTGACACCTCTCTGCACAGTATTAAGTGCTGTTTTGGAGTTTAGAATATTAATCTGTAGCAATTCTCCCCAAGGGAAGTTGCCAGGTCCACTGTTAAGCTGGACTCAATGAATAGGTGACTTTTTGTTTTTTTTAATGAGGAATACTCATTGGCTTCGAACATTGGAAAATTGCATATTTAAAAACAAAACAAATGAAACATCTTTAATGTGTTCTGCTCACAACTTTACAGAACTTTCTTAGAATGCACTAAGGAGGGAGAATTGGGGCTGATGACTGAATTTCTCAGGTTACTGAGTAAACTACAGTAACTACAGTAAGTCTTTGGGCGATTGACATTGGTCTCTTCCCTACTCGATGCTTTCTTCCTTCCTTTCACAAGCTCATTTGGATGCCAAGGACTTATTATTGCCTCATCTTACACTGAGGAACCTCTAAAGCACTGCTGTAAGAAGGGACAGAAACTTCTGTCCCTTCTTACAGCAGTGCTTTAGAGCCCCAACATCCTTTCTTTCTTTCCATGGAGACCTGGTGACAAGTTGTGTTGGGCTGATTAGTAGCAAGGCTGGGCTAGCTGAAGTCTTCTTGCTTAGGCTGAGACACCAACCGTCTCATTGCCACCATTGTCAGGATCCTGTGTCTTGGTGAGGTGCCATGAATTCGTCTCCCATTTGCATTGCAGGCTCCACCAGGTCCAACAGAGAATGTACTGGAGAGCTGGCTCCCTCCTGCATTTTCCCAAGGTATGCCGCCAAGCTTTTCACCATGAAATCAAATTCCCTTCCTGTATGTCTTATTTTGTCCTGATTTGAAAATATCATTTGAGCGATCATCTGGTTTCTGGTTTTGATGTGGTTATATATTTTCAAGCACAAACAAAACAAAAACTAATCTGAGGATGGATTTTATTTTTGATTTTTGATTTTTTTTTTTTTTAGTGTGAATGTGCAGGCAGATATAAATTGTTTCTTTCTTGAGTGGAAAAGCTATAGTGAATACTGATGAGTGGTTACTTTTTCTCACATCAATGGTTTCTCTCTTTTTATTTGTTTGGGTTTTTTTGAGATATACATGACAGTAGAGTGTATTTTGACGTATTATACGTCCGTAATGGTCTCTTAAATATGTCTTCCTAGCTCATGTTATAAAGCCATATTATTTTACACCAATGCATAAGCTGCCTAAGTTTCACACTTCACTCACACAAGTAGATGCTACCATTTTGTTCAAGTACTACACAGACTTTTCTTTTCTTTCTCCCTCCTTCCTTCCTTCCTTTTTTTCCGGACCCTCAGAAGTTTAACTTTCCCATGCATTTTGTGAAATGTGCCCATAAAGGGGTCAGTCACTGATATTAGAACTTGCCCCTTCCAGTTAATTAATTCTAGGGTTCCTGAGCTACCAAAAGAGTCAGCTCTGGTTGAATGAACAGAACTGTGGACAGAGCACATGCTTTAGAGTCAGATCAACTAGGTCCACCCACATCATAGCTCTGCCACATACAAGCTGTGTAAAATATCCAAGTAATTTGCCCTTCTGCATCTCATTTTTTCCCTGCTGTACAAGGTTGTGAACAGTGATACTTATATTTAGAGAGATTAGCGAAGAGCAGACAAAAAAAATGTGGGTCCAGACCCATGAAAAGTTCCAATAAATAATACCTATTTAAACAGCATTTCCTTAAGAACTTGGGTGAATATATTAATCATGGATAGGCTTTTAAATTGAAAACAAAAGGGATTCAGCGGAGCATGAGGGAGATACATAGAAGAAGGGTGTGTTCAAGTCCCCTCCAGCCTCAGAGGGCTCATTCCCTCACCCACTCAGCGGCCATCCTTAAGGAGCTCATTAGTGCTCCATCGATGTGGGATTAATTGTATGCTGCACTGTTTTTTACACCCTAGAAGTGTTTGTCCCTTCACCAATGCCAGTCAATCTTTGTGATACCCTAGAAAGCTGAGCTCCAGGCTCTTCCAAAGCCTGGTCAGTCACTTCTCAAAGCAAGACAAGACATGGTCTTTGGGCAGTTGAGTTAGTTGTTGGCTTTGAGTGAGGTTGGAGTCCTGAATCCAGCTGGAAGGGACCTTGTAGGAAAACTCAGCTTTTGCAATTATTACTGCAGAACTGAAGAGTTACATCAAGATCTAGAGGTAATTGTGCTACACCTCAAAGTGTTGGGGGAAGCAGCTCTTTCTTACTATAGTGTGGGTGTCTGGAAAAACATCTCTATTTTGTCTACAATCAAGACAGAGGAGACAAAGTTAAGAGGAGTAGAAAGGGGAGACACCTGGGGTGCAAGAGACTGCTGTTGACTCATGTTCAAGGTTGAAACCTTGGGAGTTAGAGGGCTCATGGAAATGCAGGTCTGGAAGTCTGTATCTCCTACATGTCCAGTGCATTAGAGTCACCCGGTTGATTTTTGTTTGTTTGTTTGTGTGTGGTTAGGCAACTGAACCCAGGGTCTTACGCATGCTATGCAAGTGCTCTACCATAGAGGAACATTCCCAGCCCTTTTAAAAAGGAAAATTAACTTTGAGACAAGGTCTCATTAAGTTGCCTAGGCTGGCCTCAAACTTGGAATCCATCTGCCTCAATCTCCCAAGAAACTGGGATTTCAGATGTGTTCCAGATTAATTCTTGAGGAGGGAAAATGGTATAGAGGAAAAAATCACAAGGTAGGAGACAAAAGATGTATATTCTTATTTTGCCTCTTCCAATCACAAGTCTTAAGATCTTGAACAATTAACTATCCTACTGGAGTCTCCATTTTCTAAACTACTAAAAAGGGGAACAATAACCAAAAATGAGGTGGGTCAGTGCATATCTGCAAAATCCTGGTGATTCCCAAGAATCTCTACCTGTACTGTTCAAAATTTTCATCACAGGTTTGAATTAAGGACATATTAATTCCAGGGATAACAGTTTTGAACAACATTATGTAAATACATTAAAAATGTCATGGTATAATCCAAGTCCTCCCAAATACCAAAAGCGCAAAACTCGGGGTTGTTCAAATACTAGGCAATAGATTTAGTTCACAGCACCTGGATGATGGAAGATAGAGGTATTAACCTTCCATGTAATGATGAAATGATGATATTTTATCTTCATAGCAACTCTACAAGGTTGGCTTTGGGTAAAGCTTGTTGTATAGGTTGCATTTACAGAAAGCTAAATCTTAGGGTGTATAAATAATTAGCAAGTGGCAGAATCAGGATTCAATCTCAGTTGTAAACCCAGCTTTATCTACATAAAAGACTTTTGTTATTTGTCTTTATTATATATTGACTTTCTAAGATAATTGAATGATTGATCATAACACTGGGTGGGGGGATTATGATTAAGTATATTGGAGAAAGTCTGGAAATCGATTATCAATTCAGTTGTATGATGATAAGTTGGTGGTGACTACAGAAAAAGAAAGAAAAGAATCAGGCTAACATGACTTGGGCTTCATCATTAAAGACGGGACTGTCACCTCCCTCATTATAGACTCATGTCTTTAATTAGACAGTCACATTTAAAAGGCTGGGTTTCCATGCTGGGCACAATACGTGAAAAGATGATTTAAAAGCTGAAAAATAGAGAATAGCAGTCAAAATATGATCGCAAAGAGATCAAAACCACATTGTGTCATATAAAGTCAAGTTAAATGAACTGGAAAAGTGTTAGTGTGGAAAACAGAGAACCCATGCAGGACACAGAAAGTGTCTTCCTGAAGCGGAGTGGCTGTTAGGTGGAAGATGGAAGGAAAAGAGACGTTATAATTTCTCAGTTATAGTGAGAAGAGTAAGGATGTGGCAGATGGCACTCAAGGGGGGCGAAGGGAATTATCGATTTCCAACATCCCAGAAAGGCTGTTTTGCAATTTTTCCACCCAAGAAAATGGACTCATGTCAAGAGTGAAGGCTCCTCCTGTGGGGAAGATGCTGCTTAGCCACATGGTTCTCACCAAAGTGTAAAATAGAAAGAGGCGCTACACGTCGCGTGGTTCAACGCTGAATCCCAAAAGGCCAGAGTGACAGCCATGAGGGTCCAGGAAGTAACCAATAGAGCAAATGGGAAACGGCCCCCTTTCTTCCCGGGAGCTGGGCACTGCGGCTGTGTGGCTGCAGCACGGCGCCCTCACAGACCCTCTGTGCTCCCTCTCCAGCCTGGCCTTCGACTTCCTGGACGGTGGGAGTCCCTTCGAATGCTGCTCCATCGACCCCTTGACAGGCTCCTATTATACCTGTCGCCGCAGCCCCAGACTCCTCACCAACGGCTACTATGTGTGGACGGAGGACAGCTTCCTGTGTGACCAAGACGGCAACATAACTCTGAACCCCTCCCAGACCACCGTCATGTACAAGGAGAACCTGGTCAGGTGAGTGGAGGCTGTTACCTAAGGGGGGGCTCAAGTCCCCTCCAGCCTCAGAGGGCTCGTTCCCTCACCCACTCAGCAGCCATCCTTCAGGAGCTCATTAGTGCTCCGGATTGTGGGGACCAAAGGCTAGGAAGGGACAATGACGGCTGACTTGAAAACGAGCCAAAGTAAAGTGGAGTGATCCAGGTGCCGGGTCAGGAATCTGTATGGGGGTGGTGGAAGGAAAGAGCAGGAGGCCAGTTTACCTGGGTACAGGTTTAAAACAGGCGTTCTAGAGCTGGTGCCGGCGACTGGAGTGTGAGAGATGTGAGGTATCAGGAGGTGTAGGCGAGGGACCTCCTGGGAAGAGTGCACAGACGTGGGATGCTGAGAAACCAATACGCGTCGGGCAGAGCAGGTAGCTCAGGAGGGTCCAGCTGGGGTGGGAAGGGAAGGAGTGTCTGTGGGAAAGCAGGCTGAGCACCAAGGTGGGGTCCCCACCAGGCTCAGGCAGGTGGGCTCCAGTGCCTACATCAGGAAGAGCCACTGACCAACTGTCTGGTCAGTTCCCAGAAGGACAGCAGTGATTGCTGTTCAGAGGATGGACTGGCGGGAATCCAAGTGGAAAGTGAGTAGAAGACAAAAAACTGAAGGCAGGGTACCACAGACTGAGAGGACGCAGGACTAGGATAAGAGGGAGGGTGGCACATAGACCGGATAGCAAAGGGGCACGGTCCGGATGCTTTTCAGGTGGGAGTTCAGAAAAGGAAGGGCACTTTGATGAAGTGTGGGACCCCGGCATTGTCAACTGGCTATGAAGTGGCACCAGTCACCCAAAGCAGAAATCAAAGAAAGGTGTGTTTGGAGGAAAGAAGACAAATGGATTCCCTTTGGATCAGGGAATTTGGGCAATCAGGTCTATTTTCTTTTGCTGTAGAACCACCCACATGCTGACTGCATCACTCAGCTATTGACCCAATGATCCTGTGTCACTGATCCAGAGTGAATCCATTCATCTTCTTCCCTGCGAACACACCCTTCCTTTATTTCTGCTTTGGGTGATTGGTCCCGTTTCACATCCAGCTGACAAAGCTAGAGTTCACTTCCTGAAAGAGCCCGTCCTTTTCTGGAACTCCCATGTCAGAACAGTGACAAAATCCTAGTGATACACAACAGCTAGTCCACTTTTTGTAGTTGGGCTGAGTTTCTGCTCACACTCCACTGGAAGACCCTGTGGCTCATGGCTGCTCCTGGTGGCAAGAGATCAGGGAAATATAGGCTAGTGTGTGCCCAGGAAGAAGAGCAGAATAGTTACGTAGAACGTTTATTGCTTCTGCCACAGTGGCTAAGGCAGATGAGTCGACTGCCCAAGGCCACTTAGAGTCGCTCTCCTCCTCTCCGTCCTTAAGGCCACTGTCTTTCTACAGACCACCATCCCCTCTTGCTTAGGTCTATGCACTCTGACTGTCTGGGATTACCCACCTTCCAGGACCTCTCCAGGCTACTGCACAGTGGCTCTTTCTGACATGGCCCAGGGACCTCCTTCAGGAGAATTTTACTCCATTTCTTTTTCTCCCAGTTTACCTTAATCATAACTACTAATGTTTGTTAAATAAATGAAAAACCAATATCATTTCTTATTTACTGTATGCTAGATACTATCTCAACCATTTAAGTACACACTCTCATTTGATTCCAACTTGGATTCTAGTATCACCATTTCCATGAATACACGGGAAACGTAAGTCCAAGTAAGTAACTTCCCCAAGCTTGCAGAGCTAGTAAATGGAACCAGGATTCCAAAACAGGTTCTCTGACCTGAGAGAACAAGTTTCTAACCACCACTTTTAACTCGATCCTATTGTAGAGATATTCTTGACCTTACAGATGATGTTTTATCCATACATTTTGTTCTCAAATTTGATAGGTGTTCATTCCAATAATAGGTGCTTAATGAAGACTTACTGGGTGAATTAATCAATATATGAGTACATAGAAATTTTCTAATTACTGCTTAAGATGATCTCATTTTAGAACCTGCAAAAATCTTTCAAATTTGATTCATTTTCACCAGGAAGTTATTCATGATCATGAACTCTATCATTTTTCTTAACTTGCTGTTACTTGAAACTGATGACAGAGAGAGTGGTCCCAAAAACGAGTTTCTCAACCAAGGCCCCATTTCTGCCAAGGTTCCCTAGGACTGAGGTCACCCTCGTGGGGAACCAAGAGGAAAAAGAATGCTCAATGCCTGCTGCAATCCATGTGAATATGAGAGAGCACTCAGTTCAAAGACACCTTGATGGCAGCTAGAGATGCCCGTGGCAGGGAGGCCTGCTGTAATGGGAAAAGTGTCCCATTTCCTCTTTGCCCTTCTGGGCTTTGCTTCAGGCCCTGATTATCTTCTCCAGGGTGTGCATAATGCAGGCTTGGCTGACAACCACCTTGTGTTGCTGTATATTTTGAATATCCTTTCTGTCCTTGGTCTGGCCCCTTTGAGCCATTCTCTGTGGCCCAGAATCTTTTGGAAATGCAAACCCAAGCAGGTCACCACCCTTTACTCCCCTTTGACATGCTCCTGGGGTTGGTCTCCTTTTACATTAACATTAAATCTTGCCTCATTCCCCAAATAGACAAGATTCTTCACTATCTGCCCATGTTTACCTTTCTAGCCACAATTCCAGCATGACCTAATGAGACCCACTTGTCCATCAGTGAGCAGGGCAAGCTCTTGCAACCTGGATCTCACTCCACAAAGCCTCCTTCAATTCTCAGTGAGGGATGCCTTTCCCCATGCTCTCCAGCCTGCCTCTGGAGAGGCATATATCCCCTACCTAAAAGCACATACCCCCTAATTTTTTGGTGATCTAGACCAGACTGGAAGCCAGGCTGTCCACTTGATAGCTGGATGACCTCAGTCGGGTAACTAAACCTCTTTAGGACTCAGTTTCCTTAATGCAGAAATGGAGTCATCCTAGTGCCCACCTCATAGGGCTGCTTGAAGGTAACCTGAATATCCAGGTGAAGACTGAGAAACCCACCTGGACACAACAGGTTCTAGGAAAGCACCAGCTAGACCTGCATTGTTTGTCTTTCTCTTAGAGTAGACTGTGACCTTTGGGTACACATGGTTTAGTCTTTAGCTCATATCCTTGACATTGATCCAAGGACTTGGCACAAGGTAGAATTTTAATTAACTTCTGTGGAATTAATGGAGTGACCAGACTCGTGCTCCAGACACATATACTGTGTACAGTCCTTCCATGGGGCACAGTGACTGCTGTTCACAGTTTACCAGGTCACTTTTGTTTTCTCCCAGAATATTCAGGAGGAAGAAGAGAATCCGCCGCTCCCTTCCTTCTCTCTTCAGCCTCAGTGCCTCCCAATCCTGGCTGTGTGGAAGTGTCTTGGGTGATTCTGATACTTCCCCCCATGAGGACATCTGGCTGGAGGGTGCCAGGAGGCTGGATCCATACCACAGCAGCGAGAATGGTGAGTTTGAGTCTTACTTTCCAGAATGAGGCGTCATCCAAATTGGTAGTGGCAGCCATGTGGTCCAGGACCAAAGTCAGATCCAAAGGCGAGAGTGAATTTGATAAAGAGGATGGACCACATTAAAAATTTACCCCAATTCTCTCCACAGGACTTATATGATGGAAATGTATAGGTGTCCCTGTGGCACAGAACACCCTGATGTTAATGTGTAGAATAGTAAGTTGATAATGCTCAGGAAATACTCTCACCTCCCTGAAGCATCTTTTCCTGTATGGGATACTGGTGGAGAAATGATACTGGAGTCAGATTTAAAAGACCTCTATTAGAGAAGGTGTACTGGATTCAGGGTTCAAGTCCTAGTCTGGACACATTGGGATAATTACTTTGCTGCATCTCAATTTCTTCTTTGAAAAACAAGATATATACATATATGTGCATATGTATTTCTCTTGAAATAGATAACATCACATATAACATAAATTGCGTATATTGCATAATAAAAATATACATATATATGTGCTTATGTGTGCATACATGCAAACATGTATAACCACAGTGATGTAATGCCAAAGCATATTTTCTTATTTATTCACTCATTTTTCAAACTTCCTGACTGATCACCTGCTCTGTTGGCAGTCATACTAAGCACATATTCCTCAAAGTTGAATAAGACGTGACTCCAATCTTGGTAAACTACTGGTTGAAGATAGGGAGGTAAGTGTGTTTGCAAATAATTGCAGTATGACACCTTCAGCACTGTAGCAGAGGCATGAGCCATGTGTAGAGAGAATGCCCGGCGGTGAGCCAGGGAAAGCCACGTTAGCTCTGCCTGGAGGAGCCTGGAGGATCTCAGAGCAGGCAGCATCCTAGCAGGTGTTAGGAGACATGTGGGCTCGCTTGGTGGAGATGAGCTAGAAGGATATTTCTAGCTTCCCCGTTCCATCCTCCAAATTGCTGAGAGGATGGGCTTCCCAAGACAAGTATGTGGCCTTGCTATTCCTTCTTAATATACAGTTTCTTTCAATTTTTCATATTTCCCAACCAGAAATGGATTAATTGTGCAGAATCTAGTGAAAAATAAAATTCAGGGCATCTCGTTAAAAAAAGGTTCAGGAGTTTCAAATGTGGACAGCAGAGCGTTAAACCAAGGGTGAAGCCCTGTGGTCATGGGGCCTCTACAGTTGCACTTCTCCCATGCCCACGCCACTGTCCTGACTTCAACTTCATCTTCTTCTCTTCCGTGCATTCCACTCAGACCACTCTCATCTGCCCTGAGTTTCCCAATGGACCACAGTCTTCCTGTCACTGTTCTCAGGTTGCTTACTCTACCGGAATCCATTCCTCCATTCATTTGGGAGATTTCATTGAAGGCCAGCCATGTGGCAGGAGGAGCCTGGAGGATCTCAGAGCAGGCAGCATCCCAGCAAGTGTTAGGAGACACGTGGGCTTGCTTAGACAGAGTGGCAACAGAAACAGACAAAATGACTTATTGGACATACTCCATACTGGACAGAGTGGCGACAGAAATAGACAAAATTACTTATTCTCATGGAACTTGCATTTGTGTGTGTGCGTGTGTGTGTGCGTGTGTGTGTGTGTGTTGGGGAGAAATGGACAATAAGTAAATTATATAGCATGTTAAGAATATGAGTGGAATGAAGAACAACTCGGGGTGAGGTGATGGGGATTGCAGGCTGAAATTAGGTGGCCAGAGAAGGCTCCTTCAGGAGGACTTTAAGCAGAAGCAAAGCCTCTGGGTAGGCATCTGGGGAGGAGGCATCCAGATGAGGCAAGAGTGAGTGCAGAAGCTCTGGGCCAGGAAGCTGCTGACTGGATGGGGGAGTGGAGGGAGGTGTGTGTGTTTCAGTGTAAGTGGGGAAGGAAGGAGAGCCAAGGGGCCATGTCCAAGGCTGGGCCTTCTGTTCCAAGCAAGCTGAGATGCCACTGAGGATTTTGATCAAGAAATAGCATGATTCAAGTTACATTCTGACAAGAAAACTCTGGCTGCCCGGTTCAGATTAGATGTCAAATGTGAGAGACAGAACACGGAATCTGGCGGGGTTTGGAGTGATTTCCAGTGGGGAAGATGGCAGCTGGAACTAAGATGATTGCAGAGGAGGGGGAGAAGGACTGGGATTCTGGACACATTTCAAAGGCAGAGTCATTTAGATTTTCCCCATGTGGGCCGTGAGAGGAAGAGAGATATCAAGGGGTTGTTATAGGCTGAGCATTTTACAGTCTGTCTTGCTTAAACGTATTAACCTTGTTTACATACACTATCTTGTTTAAATATCCCCCAGTCCCTTAAGAAGTAGGTCACATTATCATATTTATTATAATTAGGATGAAACTGAGGTTCAGGGTTAAGTAACCTGCCCATGTTCACTTAACTTATAAACATCAGAGCTGGAATCCAATCAGGGTCTGCCTTTGTTCTTTGCCAAGAGGGGTTTTACCCTCCTTTTCAGGGTCAAATCCAGCATGTATCTCATAGCCCAGGTTCAAAGAACAAGCAAGTTTTGTCATATAATACAGTCGCAAATAATTTAAGTGTACTGTCATTGTATGTCTACTAATTTTCTCAAACTGCTTCCTGGACATAAAGCAAAAGTTACATTATCTTTTTAAAATTTTTAAATTTACACTAATTATAAGTGCATACAAAATTGCAAAAAAAAAAAAAAAAAAAAGTACAGAGAGTGCCTGTGTACCATTCATCAAGTTTCACCCACTGGTAACAATTTATACAACTATAGAATATTATCAAAACCAGGAAATTGTCATTGACATAATACATGAAGATTCCACCAGATTTTACACCCACTTATGTGATTGTGTGTAATATCTAATACATTTTAAAAATAAAACAAGTGCTTATTAAATGAAGAAACAATTCCATAATATGAACACAGGATTAATTTAAGCCAAATACATTTTTTTCCCCTCACAACAAAAAGTAGGTACCTGTAGGAAGAGGAGAAAAGAAAGGCAGGAACACAGAGAATGAACGTGGAAAGAGAGACTGGGTGGAGAAGGACCTTCTGTGCACTCTGAGGACTGGAATTTACCTAACTAATTTCGAAGGATCTTAAGCAGGTTGACATTCATCAGATATAGATTTTCAGTTACCTTCTCAGTATCACGGCGTGAAGACAGGTTGAGGGGTAACTAGTGGGACTCGGGTACAATTGACCCTAACCAGCACAATGAGAAAGTGGCTCTGGAATCAGAGCAGGGAAGAGATTTAAGAAAAATCTTTCAGAGTAGAATTAAAAGGCTGATGACACATTATATGTGGTGGTGGTAAAGTGGGAGAAGGTAAAGAAAACTGATGTTTTTACTTTGGAGGGCTGCATAAAGCCTTCACTGGTGGCCTCCGGCTGGCGACAGTAGGCAGGGTGCGTTTTGAGCTGGATGGACCCGAGTTCAAGTCCTTGGACCATCTCTTTCTACTTAAGTGGTCTTGGTCTTGGGAAAGGTGTAAAAAACCTCTTGGAGCTTCCATTCCTTCATATTTCAGAGAGGAAAAATAATAGCCTATACAATTGCCATGGGAACGAAATGCAACAACCCATAAAAAGTACCACGTTAGCACAGGGGCTGGCATTCTAGAAGTTCAGTGTGTACAGCTCTGAAAAGAGAGGACTCAGGTCAGGAAGAGAGACGATGAATTCTATTCCATAAGGGCTGAACCTGATGCACTTAGGAAAGATGCCAAGTCAAGGTGAGAGAAAAATTCAGGAGTTAGGAAAGGATCTGAGACAGTGGTTTGAAAGTCAACCTGAGAAGCAGTACAGGTCTCTGGAACAGTGGGGTCTCCCCAGGAAACCAAGTGAATGAGCAGAAAGGAACAGCTCAGAGTCATGGGTGCTGTGGACCATCTCCATCCCAGCAGATCCACATCTGGGGCGACACCACTTCCTGGGGAACCCCAAGGAGAGCTGCTGTTCTTATTGCCACTTTCCAGAGGAGGAGGCTGAGGCAGATCCATGCTTTTCATGAGGCCACAGAGTTAGGAAGGAGCGTGGCCAGGACTCCATCTTAAGCACATGAGCCTGTGCTCTTAGGCACTGTGCATCATGGGGGAGAGGCTCACAGGCCAGGAACCGGTGTGCCACGGAATATAAAGAGATGTCTAGTGACGTCTGAGAAGCCATCAATCCGAGTCCTGTGGCCCACAAGAAGCCTCTGGTGAATAAGTTACCTACTAAATCTTGGCACAAGCACCTTCGGTAATGAAGGGCTTTCCATACTTTTTAATTGAGATATAACTCACCTCCTATAAAAATTACCATTTTAATGTATACAATTCACTGATTTTTTTAGTATCATCTCAAGATAGGTTATGCAACCATGACCATCTTCTACTTCCAGAACATTTTCCTCAGCCAAAAAGAAACCCCACACTCACCAGGGATCATGCCCCTTCCCTGCCAGCCTCTGACCGCCATTAAGCTACTTTCTGTCTCTATGGATTTGCCTATTTCAGATTGTCATCATTATTTTAAAATTTTATTAGTGAATAGCTGACAAAAATTGTATGTATTTACTGCAAACGATGTGATGTTTGTATATACATATATGTGAAAAGGTGGCGTCAAGCTAATTAACATATCTATCCTCTCAGACAGTTGTGAGAGCATGTCAGAGTTACTCTCTAGCAATTTTTAAGTACAAAAAAAATTACATAAATTTTTAAGTACAAATAAAATTACATCATTATTAACTATCGTCACCATGCTATGTGATAGACCTGCAGACCTAATCTGATCCCCTCTGATGGAAACTGTGTACCCTTTGTCCAGCATCCCCCCAGCACCTTGTGTACCCTCTCATTGTCTTTGAAGGTTGCCTCTTACCCTCACTGGCTGGGGATGTGGCCAAGATGGTGGGCTTATGCTGACCGTTCATTCGTCTTTGCCAGTTTCCATCCTTGGGGTTTAGCCTAGTTCTCTGGAGCTCAGATCTCATCTCAGATCTAAAGCAAAGTTTCCCAAAGTGTGGGATGGGGTGGGAAATGCCTGTAGGATCCAGCAGAAATGGATACTGAGTTACACAGGGAGAAGCAGAGGCCCCTCTTCTGATAATCTTCAGAGAACCCAGGAGACCTGCTCAGTCTAGGCTCCTGTAGCTTTGGGATTCTCAAACACTTGCTGTTTTCTCTTTTAACAAAATTCTTTCATCAAACAACAGGCGCAGAGCTTTCCCTCTACCAGTAGTTGGCACAAATTAAATAACTCTATGTTTTCATTGTACTTATTTTCACATTTGCTATCTCTTTAGGGCATTTAAGTGATGGATATAAAGTCACCTTTAAAATAAAAGCTCAAAATGAGACAATTTGAAGACAATATTAAGTGACTAAAAGCAAGAAGCTTCTAGGATTTGTCCAAGATCTGGGCAATGATGCCTGATGACCAAAGTCTGGAAATCTCCCTTCCAAAGGCAGTATTTCACATGCTCAGAAATTAACATCTAGTTTTCGCATAGTTGGATGTTCAAAATATGTCCAAACAATTTCAAAGCAGTTGGGCCACAGCAGTCCTGCACGTGCATGAGGTATCTTATTAAAATTCTCATGGTTGCCAAATATCTTCTAAATATAAAATACCAAACCACCCCACTCCAAAATCAGTAATTAGTCAACCTGGTGCACAGGACTTTGAAATCTCTCATCTCCGCTATCGGCTGTAATCAAATTTTCCCCAGACTTCTCGTTTTCTGGATTTACCCAAGGCCTCGTGACTTTTATCAGCAATTTACTTTTCTCTGGAAATGTAGCCTAGTTAGAAGACTCCAGAAGAATTCAAAATTAAGTTGTTTTTCTGTTTTCTCTCTGTGCAATGGATGCAATCAAACACTACTTCCCCTGATTTTCTGTCGCTTCATTTTCCAGGCGAGAGAGGATTTTTTTTTTCTATTTCATTTGTCCTCAGCTCACCCCTTCCCCAGCTGTGTCAAGACACCTTTTCTCATTAGTTGCAATTCATTCTTCAGCCATGGCGCTTTGCAGCTCCCCAGACCCCAATACTGCAATTTGGGATGTGTTCCCAGTCTGTGAGTCACCCTGAAAGAGAACAGAGAATTCACACAGGGAAGGCTGAATGGGACCTTCCTCTAGCTCTACTTCGGCTCACCCTAGGACAGGCAAGATGGTCTGTGGCTTTTCTCTAAAACTAATACCCTCCCATAAATATCTTTGTGTGTGTGTGTGTATGCGTGTGTGCAGATGGTAAGAACTTGACGTGAGATGTATCTTCTTAGCAAACCAGGCGCTGCATTGCATGGCAGCTCTGTAGAAAAATCCATTCACATAACTGAAACAACCCTTTTCGGGCAGCTTCCATTCCCCCACCCTCAGCCACCTTCAGCCCCTGGAAACCATTCTTGAATTCTCTGCTTCAGTGAGTTTGGCTTCACAGATCCTCATAGAGAGGGCTTATGCAGGATTTGTCCCTCTGTGACCGGCTTATTTCACTTAGTTTAGTGTCTTCTAGGTTCATACACCTTGCTGCAAATGGCAGACTGCCTTCTCTATGCAGGGCTGAATGGCATTCCACCTCTTCTTTACCCATTCTTCTGACAGTGGATGCTTAGATTGTTTCCATGCTCGGCCACTGCGGCTAGTGCTGGGTAGAATGGTGCCAGGAAACCTGTGGGGTGGCAGGAATGCCCCAGGTCACTGCGTTAACACCCAGGTTGAGCAGCACGTCAGGTGGAGTCAGGCCCCAATCAGGGCAAGGAGGCCATTCCTTGCCGTACTCAGGTCAGCCTCAGCCTGCTCAGGGGTCAAACGGATCCACTGTCTCTGTGATCACCGTAGCCCTACTGTGACAACCTCAGGGTAGGTTTCGGGTAAGGCTACAGCTCTCACCTCCAGGGCAACCTCTGTCGATTAACATAACCAACCTTCCTGAGGGCCAACTAGGAGCTGGTACTGATTGCTGGTGTCTGGAGCCGCTGAACTAAACTTTTACTCACGGAAATTTAGTCTAGTCAGGAACACGGATGTTAAACAAAGACCACACCATTTACACATTCTATGGTCTGAGTTTATAGGACAATTTGTAAAATTGTGATAATGATTTATCCCACCAGAGGAAGAGTTAGGCCCGCTATGAATTTAATGCTACACATATGTGTGGCCTATGTGGTCGTCAGGCTTCTTCAAGTCTAGTCATTCACTGCCCCTCATGATGGGTGGGATTTCCTGTCTCCTCTCCACATGGGTCTTTGGGTAGCCTTTCATGCTTTCTTCCAGGCCACCTCCATTTCATCATATATCAAAACCTCACCTTATTTTACCTACATAAAAAGGCCACAGTTTTATGTGTCTAGTGTAGAGTGTGTACAGTGCAGCCCTTACTTGGGATCATCCCACTGCTTGCAGCAGGAGTCCCTGATGCTCAGCTGGGAGCTTAGTGCCTTTGGTGATCAGTCCTCCGTCTGGATCCAGCTTCGTCTTCGGCTGGCTCCCCTGGGTCCCTTTGTTCTAACCCCATTGCAATCTGCTTCCTTTGCCAAACCTCTAGGCCTCTGTCCTTGCTTGTGTGTGCACTGAGCTACTTCTTTGCAGCTTCAAGAGGGGGACCAATTAGAAAGCCACCTAATCTGGAAGTCTTCTGCCCTACTCCAGCAGTGCATCCGGGTTCCTATTGGTATGAAGCATGCATAAAGCAGTCACTGAACACACACATGCACACACACACGCTGAACCCATCTGCTTTTTCAGAAGGGGATTTTGAATGTTCTTCTCTGATTGACAACCTGGAGAAGCCAAAGGCAGCATCTGTGACAGCCTCCACTTCCAGCCAAATCCCATCTCAGCCTCCCAGAGAAAGCTCCCAGGACACCCTTCAGTCCCTGTGGAACGCCCCTGGAGGTTTGCAAGAGAACATTGTGGATCCTTCACGTGAGTGTTTCTATTAATTTATTTATTTATGTATTGCCATTCCCAAAGAATTCTTCCCTTCAGGGCCTCACATGGCAGAAGGTGAATGACATGCTCCTAGGTACTGGCATTATCCTGTGCGAGGGGAGTTGGACTGAAGCCTGGGCCAGGGTAGTTGTGAGTGTTCACAAGGGAGGTCATTGCCTTTGGTATCATATTAGAGGCATCAGAAGCTCTCACCTCCAGGGCAACCTCTGTCGACTAACATAACCAACCTTACTGAGGGCCAACTATGAGCTGGTACTGATTGCTGGTGTCTGGAGCAGCTCAGGTGAACCTTTCCTTATGGAAATTTAGTCTAGTCAGGGACACAGATGCTAAACAAAGACCACACCATTTACACATTCTATGGTCTGAGTTTATAGGACAATTTATAAAATTGTGATAATGATTTATCCCACCAACGCAGAGAGCAAGGTGTTTGGAAAAGAGTAAGTACAACAGGAAAAAGAGGCAGGTATCACGTGACAGTGCTTCCCAGAGGTGTCCAAAGCTCCAGTGATCAAGGTGCCTGTACATTTACATCTCATCTCCCTTTGGCAGGCTTTCAAGCTCACTGTTACTGATACCATGGGCCACATCATTCTTGGCCCAACAGCCCTGCTGCCCACCAGAGCAGGTTAGCAGCATCCCTGGCCTCTGCTCACTAGGTGCCAATTGCAACCCCTGTGTCCCAAATGATGTCAATCAAACACGTTCTGGGATGCAAGAAAAAATTGTCTGGGAGGAGAAATCCCCTCCTATAACAGGGTAGAGGACTCCTGTTATATGAGGACCCCAACTATCTCTTGGAGGTCCCCACTTGCTCAGCTCTCAGGGACTGGGAATCTCTCAGATCTCACCATTGAGTGAGCATCTCAACGCATGGAGCTCCTCATGCTCCTATGACTTTAATGACTTCAGACTCCCACAGAATAATCTTAGCTCCCAAGTGTGACCGGAGGCCCCTCAAATCTGATCTTTCTTAGTGGTCCAGCCAGCACCATCTCCCAGGATTCCCCAGGCATGGGCTCCTGTCTGGTGCCTGGTCTCGCTCTCTGGGAACGCACTGCATCTTCCCTTTCTTCCAATTCCCCCTTCTGGTCTTCCTGCTGTCAAGTGTCCACTTTAGGACCACCCAGGTCAGGCTCCCTGGCTTCCCCCAGACCGATTCAGACACTGCTTCCTAGACTTGCCTGGATAACCCATGCCAGCCTCAAATGGCTCCTTTTGAAGTTTCCGTGTGGTAAGAATAACCTTCTTGATTTGATTTCGTGGCTGCTCTTCTGTTGTCCCTGTCTCCAAATGCATCCTGGGACCTGTGGCTGTTCCCACCATTCCTCAGCTGTGTCTTTCCTGGAGACCCTTTTGCTCTGCACAGTCAGCTCTGCCATGGGCCAGGTGGTACAGGACAGAGCCCTGTCCATGTCCTGAAGTGCTTTCTTCCACAGGATGCTAAGTAAAAATCAATAAATAGATAAAAAGCAAGTAAAGTGTAAATGGATTGAAGGGGGATGAGGGGAGTTCTGGGGGAGAGGAGGGGAGTGCTGGGGACTGAACTGGAGTGGGGTGTGTTCCATGCTCTTGTGGTTATGTCAGGGTGTGTCCTGGTGTTGCATATAACTAAAATAAACTAAGAAGTAAAAATAAAAAGACACCTTGCCATACAGTGAGGGACGGGGGGCGGGGGGTAACAAAGCAACCATGTGGGATGAGATGTGTGCCTAGAAATGTCTGGGAACAGGCTGAGGAGCTCCTGCATGGTAGAGCAATTCCCTGAGAGTCACTCAATTTAAAAAAAAAAAAAAAACACCTTTCCATATGTCCACCAATAGGCTCTGCTCCCTCCCTTCCTTTCTTTTTTTTTTTTTTTTTTTTTTTTTTTCATAGAATGTTCTACTTTATAGATGAGGAAACTCAGGGTCAGAAAACCTAGGTACCATGCCCTGTGTTACTTGCATGAAGACTCGGGTTCCAGTCTTCTGAAGCCAGGTCCTTGCCATTCCCACCAAATGTCACTTTGCTTCTTCTTAACAATGACATCAATTTGCACATGTCTCCTATCTAATGACCACTTCCCTCCTTGCCACTTCCCACCAGTGACTCTCATGTGCACAAACACCACCTGGGATTTCTAGCCTCTTTGGGGCACTGACTCTCTGAATGAGAGGGATCTCATTCACCCCGGTGCCCTATAGCATATGGGGTGATAAAGATGTACACGTTGATGTGAGTAATTCTATAGTCATCAAACCAAGACACATACGGGCCACAGAAATAATTCTCTTTTTTAGGTAAGAAAAAAAAATAAGCAGATAGTATAGTTAGAAAAAAAATGTTTATGGGTTTACTTTAGCATTTCCCCAGGGTAAAATAAATGAGCACAATGTTCTCAGACCACACCCACTGTTCTAAACTGGAAATCAAGCATGATCTCCTTTGTTCCCCCATTGCTCCTGCCCTAGGGTTCTCCTTTTCTGCATTGTGGTTCATGTTTGCCTTTCCCCTGGAGAGTACCTCCTGGAGAATCCTGTGGTTTGGGGTTGTGAGTTCCTCTCCCTTGGGCTTTCTTTGAGAGAATCTGTGCATCTGGGGCTGAGAGCATTCTAAAAGGAGATTTTACATTGATTCCTGGTGTACATCACAGGACAAGTACCAGTCAAGACTGATTTGAAATAGTAACTTCTCAGTATAAATTTGGACTTGAAAACCACTTCCTCATAAAATCTTTGGGAGATAGCTGCCTAGACCAAAGGAGATGAGCCATCAAGCTCTCTCCCTGAACTTTTAGTGACTTTTTTTCTTTAGCCTGCCCTTTCATTGGGGAAATAGACTCAAGTTCTTATAAGAATTCAGTTCTAATTTTATGTCTCTCTGTACACCAAGGCCTTTTCTCTGCTCCTATGGTGTCATTGAAACCATAGCCCTTTGGCTTCTAGAAACCCCCACCCTCCAGGGCCATTTGGCCATCACACTTCAGAGCTCTGGGAGTCCTTGCCGTGGCCTCTGGCAATGCATCATTCTTTTGAGCTCAGCCATAGAGTTTAAAAAACATCAGTTGGATGTGCGCCATCTTCGACACCAGCTCAGGAAACACCTGTGTCCGAGGCAGGGCTTCTGCCTGCTCTTTGTGAGAGGTTTTTGCTCCAGGTCAATGAGCTCTCCATGGCTCAAATTTTTCCTCAAGGTCACAGAAATAAAGTTTATCCCTGGGTGGGAATCACACAGACCCCCAAAGACAGAACAGGGAATTCCTGGGTGCATTCATGCCAGATGAATCTCAGAGACTTGCAGTGGGTCAGGGGTGGTGCTGAACCTTCTGTGAGGTGGAAGGACATGCCCACCACAGTCTTCCTGCCTGAAGCTCTGACTTGGGCCATTTGGGACCTTGTAACCCCAGACTCAAATTCAGAGCCAACAATTACATGTCATTCCTTAATGTTCTACTGTTGAAGACACCAATCTTCATTAGGAGTTGGCTTAGCAGGTGTGAAACATTATGCTTCATGATTTTGAGATGAATTTGATGGACTCTTTTTGAGGTAATGTTAGGCTTACTAAAGGGCTGATAAAACATATTTATTTATGTGTGGACTATTGTGGAAGAGAATAGGCCACATGTCCTTGAAAGTATGTTTGAATTACATAACCGCTTACACAGATGAAAAAACACATGCTACACAGCATTTTACCAGGGACATCAACGTGTTTTATATTGGGAGGTTGTCCTTAGTCCCACCTTCCTCCCACCAGCACACAAGCCACATGAGGACAGAGATGACATCTGTCTGATACTCCATTGTTTCCCAGCAGCTCAGTCAGTTTCTGATCTATAGTAACATTGGATTAATGCCAAATGAGCCAGTGAGTGAGTTAGAGGAAGAGTTAGGCCCACTATGAATTTAATGCTACACATATGTGTGTCCTATGTGGTCGTCAGGCTTCTTCAAGTCTAGCCATTCACTGCCCCTCATGATGGGTGGGATTTCCTGTCTCCTCTCCACATGGGTCTTTGGATAGCCTTTCATGCTTTCTTCCAGGCCACCTCCATTTCATCATGTATCAAAACCTCACCTTATTTTACCTACATAAAAATGCCACAGTTTTATGTGTCTAGTGTAGAGTGTGTACAGTGCTGCCCTTACTTGGGATCATCCCACTGCTTGCAGCAGGAGTCCCTGATGCTCAGCTGGGAGCTTAGTGCCTTTGGTGATCAGTCCTCAGTCTGGCTCCAGCTTCATCTTCGGCTGGCTCCCCATTGCAATCTGCTTCCTTTGCCAAACCTTTAGGCCTCTGTCCTTGCTTGTATGTGCACTGAGCTACTTCTTTGCAGCTTCAAGAGGAGGACCAATTAGAAAGCCGTTCTACTCTGGCAGTGCATCCGGGTTCCTATTGGTATGAAGCATGCATAAAGCAGTCACTGAACACACACATGCACACACACTCTGAACCCATCTCCTTTTCAGAAGGGGATTTTGAATGTTCTTCTCTGATTGACAACCTGGAGAAGCCAAAGGCAGCATCTGTGACAGCCTCCACTTCCAGCCAAATCCCATCTCAGCCTCCCAGAGAAAGCTCCCAGGACACCCTTCAGTCCCTGTGGAATGCCCCTGGAGGTTTGCAAGAAAACATTGTGGATCCTTCACGTGAGTGTTTTTATTGATTGATTTATTTATGTATTGCCATTTCCAAAGGATTCTTCCTTTCAGGGCCTGACATGGCAGAGGATGACTGACATGCTCTTAGGTACTGGTTTTTACTTGTTCAAAGGGAGGTGGACCCAGACCTTGGCCAGGTTCCTTGAGATGTGTTCATAAGGGAGCTCATGGCTTTTGGTATTATCTTAGAGTCATCAGAAGCACTGAATGTACATTGCTTTATTTTTTTCAAAAACTCTGAAGATGTATGATATAATGTTAGGTTCTAACAGAGCAAAGGAGAAGGAACACAGGTCCTTGCTGTTTTATTCTTTATACAAAGCAGTGTATTTGATACACACCAGAAGAAAAACAAGAAAATGAGCAAAAGAAATTTTTTTTTTGTACCGGGGATTGAACCCAGGGGTGCTTAGCCACTGAGCCACTACTCGAGCCCTTTATTTTTATTTTTTATTTTGAGACAGGGTCTCATTAAGTTGCTTAGGCCCTCACTAAGTCTCTGAGCCTGACTTTGAAATTGTGATCCACCTGTATCAGTCGCCCGAGTCTCTGGGATTAGAAGCATGTGCCATGGTGCCCAGCAGGAAAAGAATATCCTTTTATAGGATGCCTCTAGTAAGAAAAGGAAAAATATCCAAAGCTATTGGCATTTCCTGTCAAAGTGAGTGTGGAATAAGTCCAGCAAGCAATCAAGCCCTCTTCTCTAGTTCGCTGGAATCAGGCTCTGCTCTTGGGCTGGCCCTGTTGCCAGTTGACCGAGAGGCAAAGCCCTGTTCCTCATGTGTTAGCTGTAGTAACTCTGTGAACCACCAAGGAAGAAAACTGAGCGCTTACCAACTCTAAAATGCAATGGTTTCATGCGCAGGTATAGATCATCCCAGTTCTTATCTCAGAAAGACTAAAATAGTTCATGTAAAGCAATTTGGGCCATGTCTACTAAATGCTCAATGAATGTGAAGTTACGAGTATGCGAAGGTGAGATGAAATGGAAACATGTCTTCTGATTTGCCTTTACAAAATCATGAATATGAACCTCATGGATCATCCCTTCCCCTACAAAGGCCAAGGTTCCCTGCACCCAGGTGCAGCCATTAGATAAATGTTGAGGGCTTTTGTGAGCTCCCTTTCCAGGTGTTGGGTTGACAGAGAAGGTGACTTTACTGTCCAGACAGTGGCCAAGTTATCAGTGCCTCACAAGGCTCAGTAGCCACCTCCTCCAGCAAGCTCCCTTCTCTGGGCTCCTCAGACTCCCAGGGATCCTCTGTCTCATGCCCACTCCCTGCACTACTGTCGCCTGCTTACCTCTGCATGGGAAGCACCCCCATCTTTGGACTGGGCACTCCTTCAGGATGGGCACTAGGTCACAGTCCTCCACAAATTCCTTGTGCTCTGTGACTGTGGTGGACCATTTGAAAGTGTTCCCTCTCCATACTACAGAGAAGAGTACTGACTCAGCGAGGCCAAGTCAACCTTGGTACTGTTGGCAAAGTTTTGCAAGGAAATTGGCTGCTCTCTGCTGTCTGAATTGTCAGTGCCACCTGCTCTTCCTCATGGTCCATTAAAGGGGATCCCCCCCGTGGAGACTTCTTTGCCCCTCTGGCCACTGGAGGTGGCCCTGGACTTCCCTAGCACCCAGTATGCACACCTCTAGTCAAACACGCATTTCCCTCCTCCTCGTTGAGCTCTGGAGCCTGGAGGAGACAAGGTCTCCATCTTTCTGCAGTCCTTCAAATGTAGGTTCTGAGCGTATCTTCTCTGCCAGGTGATATTCCAGGTGCTGGGGGTACAGGTGTGTACAGCCTCATCTCTGTCAGTCAAAGCTTTTGATTCTGAAGTCTCGACTCAAAGTGGACTGCTCAGTCATGGAATCTATGGGTTTACGTTAATGAAAATTCCCAGGCATAGGGTTGAGGAGTCTGTCCATCTCCGTCTCTTGTTGTCTCTTCTCTCCTGTGGGTGTGGCTTTCTAAAGGCCATCTTGCCATCGTTTTCCTGGTTGATTTGTACCTTGACTTTTCTAATTTCCAGTTCAGTGGAGTTATGACGGGAGGCCAAGAATTAAGTTTTATTGGTATTTGAAAGGTTGCACTTACATGGAGAAACTGGTCATTTTGTAGATAAATTTGTGAAGCTCCAAAACCTTGGAAGGGTTTAAATGCTGGGAGGGAAATCAAAGAAGTCCACCAGCCCACCTAAACCGGGCACCAGGAGAGAGCGGGAGAGGGATTCCTCAAGTAAACCGCGGGTGCTGTCGCCTCAATTAGGAAGTGCAGCATGGAGCCTTGTGGGAGAAACAGAGTGTAGAACAGAAACTTTAATTCAGTGTGAAGAGAAGGGTAAGGGAGACGGGAAGGAAGGTGACGGAATCAGGGGAGGGAAGTTCAGGGCCCTGTGGAGGCTGGAGGCAGGCTTCACCAAAATAGGTACAAAGCAAATGGCTGCTAAAGGAAGGGGCCTGAAAACTGGCCCAAAGTGACACAACCCCTCTCTTTGTGGAATTCATATTTACACCCATTCATCCTTCAGTGTCTAAGTCTAGAGAGATTTGCAGGTTGTCAAGTTGGATTTGTTTCTCTCAGGAAATGTTTTCCAAATTCCACATGAAGTCGGGGGAGGCAAAGAATAGAAACCCACTTTAGAAAGATGGTGGAGTGTTCAATTGAACCCACTATAACTTATTTAATTCACAGTATACATCAATACCATATATTTTCAGCAAATAATTTGCTACTGCTACGTTTTCAATTGCCAGTTTTCAGTATTCCACCCACATGATGGGCTAAGGAATTTTTGTAGCTGATTCAATCCTCATTCATAGCATAAATAGCAAAAATAAATACATTCATAAAGTCATTCCAAGTTTCAAACAACTGTTGTAAAACTGAGCTTTGGAAGAATTTGGCAAAAAAAATAAGTTGAGGTCTGTTTATAGATTCCTTCAAGTTTTCTGTAGTAATCTTTAAGCCAGCTCCAGTTCTCTTTAGGTAATTAGGGTACCACTGAGGTTCATGATTGACTGAACTCTCGTGCTTAAAAATTCTGGAGGATCTGCAGCCATTTCCACTGTGGCTCAACAGCACTGAGATATTCTGCGGATTGTGGAGAGTTTTGCAAGGACAAACTCTTTCATAATGTATGTTCTCTGTTCTGGTCTTTAGAGACTGCCAGTATGCAAAGTTGCAATTGTCTTTCCCTGCCCCACTTCAGACAAAACATTATGTTCTGTCTAGATGTGGTTTCTACGTCTTGGCTCTGGCGTCTCATCGCTGTGTGACCTTGGATCATTTGTCATTTCTCTCAGTTTGGTCTTCTTGTTTGCCGAGCTAAGATAATGTTACCCACCTCACCTAGTTGTTGTGCTGACTAAATGAACTGATGTGTGACAGCTATTTGTGAATTAAAAGGCCCTCTACTGATTTTAGGCATTATGATTGTTTGTACCATCATTGTCATCATCATCCTGACATTAGCATAGATTCCACAAAGCCTTTGCCTGACATTAAAGCAACAGGCAACCCTGAACTGTGTAACATAGTCTTTTATAGTGATAAACAAAACTAATAATTTGCTTAATTGTCTAATGAATGGCCCTGTATTTATTTAGGTGATTTTATATCGTTACTTATGACAAATTGCTTGTGTTAGTCAGCTTCTCACCACTGGAACCAAAATACCCAACAAGAACAACTGAAAGGAGAGTAAGTTTATTTTGGTTCATGGTTTCCAGGGTTCAGGCCAGGGTCCACAGATTCCATTGTTCTGGGTCCCAAATGAGGCAGAACATCATGAGAGGAGGGCGTGGTAGAGGAATGCTGTCCCATTTATGGTGGCCAGAAAGCACAGAGAGCAAGAGTGGGTGCATGCACCAGGGACAGGCCCTCAGGGACCCACCTCCTCCATCCATGCCCCACCTCTGAACATTCCTGCTTTTACACAGAGCTTTAACGGGGACAGCTCATATCCAAACCCTAGCATTGCTTAAGATGACATGCGTTTGATGTGTGTGTGTGTGTGTGTGTGTGTGTGTGTGTGTGTGTAGAAGGTTTGGTATTATTTTTTTTATTGTTCTAAGATTATTTAATCAGCCATGATTTCTGATCCACTAATTTGTGTTCTTCCTATTAGAAACCAGTGTGTTTCCGGGTGTCTCCTTTCAGGCGGTGCTGCTTATAGCATGCTTCATCATTTCTCTATGTGCAAGGTAATTCGGATTTTATTTTCATGCAGCAGTATTTCATAATTAATGGAGTGTAACTGATGATTTCCTTGCCTTATTCCTCAGAGCATTTTTAGGCAGCTCTGTGGTTAAGATCTGCTCGTGTATCTATCATGGTGTCTTTTTTATCTCTTCCCTCCCTCCTCTCATCCTCTAGCAAAGCACACAAAAGCCAATGTGTCTCACTTAAAACTGGATTCTACCATGTCTATCCTTTGTGTAAAGTCTCAGCGACTCCTGCTACAGATAGTCCAAGTGTCCCTTCCCAGAATTCAAGAGCACTTGAAGTCCCCAGCAGGACACTCCTTTTTTTCCAATTGTAATTTTTTTGTCCTAAATTATGTTGATCTAAAAAAGAATAATCAGTAAGAGATTCTCCAAAGAATAACAATGCATCGGGACTGGCAGTGTTTTGATGGGAACACTTGTGCCATCATCAACTGAACACATTCAAATAGGTCTTACCCCTCGTTTCCTCTTATATGTAATTTTGTATAACCCTGAGGATAAGACAAGATAATACATGTGGAAGAAATGATTTACAGTAGAGGGGGTAGAGAGAGAAAAGGGGAGGGGAGGGGAGGGGAGGGGAGGGGGGATAGTAGAGAATAGGACAGACAGCAGAATACATCAGACACTAGAAAAGCAATATGTCAATCAATGGAAGGGTAACTGATGTGATACAGCAATCTGTATATGGGGTAAAGTTGGGAGTTCATAACCCACTTGAATCAAACTGTAAAATATGATATATTAAGAACTATGTAAGGTTTTGAACGACCAACAATTAAAAAAAACAAAAACAAATAGGTGGAGGCCGGGGAGGTTTTAAAGGCAAAAATGAAGAGGATAACCGTCGATATTTTGAAACAGTCATCTTTGACCACAACGGCTAGTAGTAATGGTGACGCTAGTCTGAAGTTGAGCAGAGTTCCTGGACAAATGTCCATGAGAAGTACTTTTTTTGTATAAGATGGCAGTGCCTCTGGGCAAGCTTGCAGTTCTGGCAGAGTGTGGTGATAATGACTACCAGGCAATCATGCCTAGGGAACCTTGCTTCCTCACGTCCCAGCTTTATTTAACTTTTGTAAGAGTTGACCCAAGTGACTCCATCTGGATTCTGACCACATTCACAGTCCTTTCACAGATGAAGGGTCAGTTTCAGGGAAGTCCACTCGGAGCATGTGGGACTGCAGCTCCTTTCTGACTACAGCTGTCTCTGCTCTGTTGTCTTCCCGCCGTGTCCTTGCCCTGGCTTCTCTCTTTGCCCAGCCACTGCAGGACAGTGAACAAGCCCCTTTGGCCCCAAATCTACTCATGCCTCAGGGCCTTGGCACAAGTCTTCTACAGACAGCCTCCTAACATGTGACTTCACTTCTTGGTGGAATCTGTTCAAATGCCACATCATCCCGGAGGCCTTTCCTGACAGCCCTGCATGGGCAGCACCCCCGTCTGTCACACACACTCCTTGCTTCACTTTTCTTTAGAGCCTTGGCCACCACCTCCCTGTCTTCTCTAAATATTAATGACCTACCTGTCCCTTCATGAATATGAGTGACAGTGTCAGAGACGCGGTGTGCCTCCTCCACTTCTGAGCCGCAATGCCAGAGGCTTGTCAATATTTGCTGGATCAATGAAGCAAAGATGGCTGGTCCGGAGCTTTGCAGTCCTCGCTGTCACTCAGCAGACGCTGCCTTCTCTCAAGGGCTGCCACTCAAGGGTCAGACACCTCGACAAGCTGCTTTTTAAACACCAAGTTCCAGATCCTGTCCCTGGAGACACTGATTGAGGTCTAGTGAGAAGGGGTATTTTAAAACAAGCTTCCCAGTTAATCGTGAGGTTTGAGAAGCAATTTTAGAGTACAATGGGACCAAGAGGACAAGAAGGGGGAGGTCCTAGGGTTAAAAATAAATTTGCAAAACTCTGCATTGTGCGTCCCACGTTGGAAGAGCATAACTATCAGAATGGTGGCCCAGCGAGATCTTGTAGGGCTCAGCAGCGGGATTATTACCGTGTTTCTTAGGCTGATTTATGTGAACCCTCCCTGATTTAGAGGTAGAGCTTTACCCTCCAACCCTGGAGGGGTGAACTGTGTTTAGAAACTAGCTTCCAAAACTGGAGTCAGGAAAGGGGAAGGGCAACTTCACTGTGGCAACACCTGGCCAGAGCCACCTCAGGTGCCTGGGACAATGCAGTGGGCAAGGCACTTCACACTGTGGTCCTCCAAAACCCAGTCATGTGAAACTTAGGCAGAGAACCCAAACTAGGGGATCTTCTCCACATGATCTGAGCAGTTTCACTCAGATGGAGGTCACTGAAGCCAAGCTGCCACAGCCCAGAGCAACCAAGGAGACCTGATGACCAAACACAGTGGGGAAGGCCGGATGGGAGCCTGGACAGGAAGGGGAAGTAGGGAAACTGGGGCATTCAAATGAAGCGCGGAGTTAGTGGTCAGGTACCAGCGTTGGTTCTTTAATTGTGATGAATGCAGGATAGTATATAAGATGCCGGATAAAGGGAGGTGGTTGAGAGACACCTGAGAGCCCTCTGTACTGTACTAGTCAATTTCTCTATTTATCTAAATTATTATATAAAACAAATAACTCAATAAATGGGCAAAGGAACGAAACAGACAGAAACTTCTCCAAAGAAGAAATATAAATGGCAAACATATATGAAAAAAATGTTCAACATCTCTAGCAATTAGGGAAATTTAAATCAAAACTACATTGAGATTTCTTCTCACTGCAGTAAGAATGGCAATGATCAAGAATACAAATAATAATAAGTGTTGGTGAGGAATTTGGGAAAAGGCACAGTCACACATGGCTGATGGAACGGCAAATCAATGACTCTGGAAAGCAGAGTGGTGATTCCTCAAAACACTAGAAATGGAACCACCATCTGACCCAGCGATCCCGCTCCTCAATAAGTATCCAGTACAGCTAAAATCAGCATACTATAGGGATTCAGCCACATCAATGTGTATAGCTTCATAATCCATAATAGCCAAGCTATGGAACAAACCTAGGTGTTCTTCCACAGAGGAATGGATAAAAAAAAATACAATCTATACACACAATGCAGTATTACTCAGATGTGAAGAAGAATAAAATCATGGCATTTGCTGGTAAATGGATGGAACTGGAGAACATCGCACTAAGTGAAATAAGCTAATCCTCAAAAGTCAAAGGTTGAATATTTTCTCTGATATGTGGAAGCTAATCCAAAATAAGAAGAGAGAGGAGAAAGCAGAAGAAGGGGGCCTGGAATTCCATCAAAATAGAAGAAAGATCAGTGGAATAGATGAAGGGGATTAAGGGGGAAGGAGAAGGGACATGTAAGAGGATATCAGTGGAATAGCTCTGACCTAAGTCTCTTATGTACATATATGAATATACCACAGTGAATCTCAACATCGTTGACATCCACGAGACACTGATTTAAAAAAAATAGTTTATTTAAGAATCATTTAACAAAAGAGTTAATGATAGGAGCAAAAGCATGAATGTGTCTCTCGGACATGTTGACATATTACTCAGCCATGAAGAGGAATGAAATCCTGGCATTTTCTGGTAAATGGATGGATCTGGAGAACATCGTGCTAAGTGAAATAAGCCAGACCTAGAAATTTAAAGGTTGAATATTTCCCCCATCTGCAGAAGCTAGTTTAAAATAAGGGGAAAAGGAGAGAATTCCATGAAAATAGAAGGGAGAACAGTGGAGCAGGGAAGGGGATTGATAGGATTAATGGTGAGGTAGCAGAGATGGGAAAAGAGAGGAAGTGTGGAATGAAATTAACCAAATTATGCTATACATATATGAGTATTCCATGGTGAATCTCACCTTTACATATAGCTATAAAGCACCTAAAAAACAATAAATACTGGAATACTGGAAGACCAGTAGAGTGGAGAACAGGGGGCAGGAGTCGAGGAGGGAAAGAGGAAGACTAGGGATTGAAATGGAGCAAATTATATTTCATGCATGCATGATTATGTCAAATGAGCCCCACTATTATATGTAACTACCCTGCACTAATAAAAGCTCTTAAAAAGAAAAAATGAGAAAATATATATCTCCAAAAGCTTATTTGAAATGGTTATACTGAAATAAAAGAAGTTATGGAAAAAAATGATAGGCACAAAGTCTGTAGGATGACATTTATGTAGAAGTCAATAGAAAACAAAGCTTATGAATTATTATAGATGTAAAAACAGTGGTTAAACTGGAAGAAACAACAAAGGAACCTTCTAGGTTGCTGAATATATTCTATATCTTAATCTAGATAGCATTTACAGGGGCTTATGTTAAAATGTCAAAATCGAAATGTGCAATTTATATTCTCTACAGTGCATACGTTAGAGCTCAATTTAGAGAAAAAGTTGTAGAAAATCATAAAAGAGATATTGGAAAAGACAGTCATCAGATTTTAATCATGAAGGGTACTGGGTAGTGGCTTTTTAAAAATGACATTTTCTATTTTCTACTATCCCGGGGTAAAGTTGGGAGTTCATAACCCGCTTGAATCAAACTGTGAAATATGATGTATTAAGAACTGTGTAAGGTTTTGAACGACCAACAATAAAAAAAAAAAAAAGAAACTAAAATTAAAAAAAAAAATGACATTTTCTTCTCTTTTGTACTTATTTTTTTAATCTTAAATAATTTACATTTTGAAAATCAAAATCACCAAGGAATTATTCTTTTCTTAAAAAAATAACTACCCTGAGATAAAATCACCCATCAGATTAGAAAAATCCAAATATTTGATCACACATTTTTGGCAAGGCTAGGAGGTAGCAGATGCGTTTCTACATTCCTGGTGAAATTTTTAATCATTAATACTTAAAATCCCTTAACTAGGGCAGTTTGACAATTTCTTTGAAACTTAAGGATGTCCCATTTGACTAGGCTATATTCTTCCTGGGAATTTATCTTGAACATACAATAGTACTTGTGAAATGTATATAGAATGCTATTTGCTGTATCTTAAAAAGTTTCTTATTTTATTTTGGTATTTATTTTTTTTAAGTGTAGTTTTTTAGTGCACTCACAAAGTTATGCCACCATCACCACTACCTAATTCCATTTAATCACTGAAAAAAGAGCCCATAGCTGGGCATGGTGGTGCACCTCAATAATCCTAGCAACTCTGAAGCCTGAGACAGAGAGCAATCCAGGTTCAAGGCCAGCCTCAACAACTAAAATAATTCTCTGTGCTTCCTTAGATGAATGCTCCTCCTCCCTAAGCTCCCAGAAACCACTTATCTGTTTGCTGTTCCTATAACCTTATCTTTTCCCAGAATTCTTTAAGAATGTAGTTATTCAGTATGTAGCCTTTTTGGCTTACCTTCTTTCACATAGCAAAATGCATTTAAGATGAATTCATATTGTTGCATGAATTAATAGCTCATTCCTTTTTATTTTTATGGTAAATCTAGAAGTAACCATTGCAAAAAATAAAGCAAGGAGAAGAGGATAAGGGGTAGAAATAAAAGCTTGGAATTTGCATTGAATTTTACTCCACGTGGAACCATAGGTCTCCCCACCACTCCTGTCTGCCTTCACTTCCTTACTTTTCCAGAATAATAATAATAATAAAAAAAACTTCCTCTCATAGGGTATGTTGTTAACATATGATTAATGCAGAAATCTTTTCACCTTCTCTGCGACACATCCTTCTTGTAAGAAGAGGTACCAACCTACAGCAAGAAGAAATGTGCCATTCTAACAGCCCAGTTCATGGACGTACCATGGATTGTTTATATATTCACCTATCGAAAGCATCTTTGTTGCTTCCAGTTTTTGACAAATTTGGATAAAGTTTTGACAAGAAAACCTTGTCTTTCTTTCTTTCTTTCTTTCTTTTTTTCTTTCTTCTTCTTTTTTTAAAAATAGAGACAGGGTTTCAATTCAGTTGGGTATGCAGTAGGAAGAGTGATTGCTGGGTGATAAGATGAGCTGCTTTGCAAGAAATTACCAAACATCTTCCAAAGTGTTGTACCACTTCACTCAGATCAGCAATGAATGAGAGTTCTTGTTGCTCTGCGTCTGTCTACATTTGTTATTGTCATTTTGGGGAGCTTTAGCCATCGTCATAGGTATAGAGAGGACTCTTGCTGTTTTAATTTGCATCACTCCAATGACAAATGACACTGAGCATAGCTTCATATACGTATTTGCCATATGAATACCTTCATGGATGAGGTGTCTGAGTGTCTGTTCAGATCTTTCACCCATTTTTAAGTAGGTTGCTTTAGTATTATACAGTTTTAAGTGCTCTTTATATATTGTAATTAGAATTTCTTTGTCAGATATATTATTTGCAAATATTTTCCACAAAACTATACCTTGTCTTTTCACTATCTTACCAGAGTCTTTCACAGAGAGAACTTTTAAAAATATTTTTTCATAAAATCCAATTAATTGATTTTTTTGAGAGATTGGGGACTTAGTGTTGTATTTAAAATCTTATTGCCAAACACAAGGTCACATAGTTTTTCACCTTGTATTACTCTAGAAGTTATATATTTTTACAGTTTACATTTTAGTCTATCATTCATCTTAAGTTGGATTTTGTGTGAGATATGGTAAATATTTGGAGGTTCATTCTTTTGCATGTGAATAACCAATTGTTCCAATATCATTTGTGAAGAAACTACTCTTTCTCCATTGAATTTCCTTTGCATTTCTGCTAAAATCAGTGGCAAAGTACCCTTGGGTTGGATCCCCAGTACTACACACACACACACACACACACACACACACACACACACACACACAAGTTAATTTACTAGCCAAGCATGGTGGCACATGCCTGTAATCCTAGCAGCTTGGGAGGCTGAGGCAAGAGGACTGTGAGTTCCAAGCCAGCTTCAGCAACTAGTGAGACCCTAAGCAATTCAGGAAGACCCTGTCTCTAGATAAAACATAAAAAAGGGCTGGGGATATTGCTCAATGGTTAACACCACTAGGTTCAATCCTCAGTACAAAAAAAAAAAGAAGTAAATTTTACTGCATCCATATGGGCCTATGTCTGGGCTCTCAATTCTCTTTTATTGATTTATTTGTCTATCTTTTTTTCCAATACTGTATCTGTGTTATTGTAGTTTTATAGTAAATCTGGAAATTATAAGTCTATTTAAGTCTAAAAGGCCATCATGCATGTTGGAAATGCATAATTACATGCTAAGTGGCAGCGATCCTGTTGTTTCAGATGGTGGATTGGAGGAGTATTATCCAATGTCTTCACGTGCACGCTGGTGATAACAATTGCTTGTAAGTAACAGTTTTGCAAACTGCTGCTCTGATTTCATTTGAATTTTGGTCATTTAAATTTTTTAACCATGTTTCTCCCTTCCGCCCCAGATGTTGTCCAGTCATTGTTCCTCAGCCTCGCCAGCTATTTCAAAGCCACTGCCCATGCCTGGTGAGTGTTGCCTGCGCTGTTCTCTTCCTCTGAACAGAGATGCCAGGCTGGCACCTGATATCTGAGAACGGTTTCTGCTGAGTAATAGTTGGCAATGACTACATATAGAAAAGATCCTGATTGTTCTTCCTGAACAATACTTTCAGTCAATCTGATAGTATCATCCCACCTCCCAAATTCTTCCATCAAAATTGAATTAATTTTTAAGGCAGAAGGACTTAGGAAATAATATGAAAATAAGTGGACTTTCCAATTATTTTGAAAGGGACTTTTAAAGACTCATAGCCTTGCACTTTATAAATACTCACTTTAAGAGACCTTTATCTTATGTTATTCCAAACGGCTGGCAAACTGCCCACTAGACGTTATGTTATGAACTGCAATTCCTCTGCCATCTCTTACCCACTAATGATGCCCCTGTGTGCTGGCTGTTCTGGTGCAGCATATTTCAAAGGATGAGATGCTCTCAGGACTCCAGACAGTCCACACGGTGCCATCCCACTGCAAGATGGCCATGTGTTTCCCTGTTTTTGAAATCTTTGTGTTAAATATGAAATCACAATGGGATTGAATGAAGATTTATTTTGTTTACCACTCCAAGCAATATTGACTTACTGACACTTTGAGTGACACTTCCAATAATTTCTAGGCCATTCAGGCTTCTTGGGGGCAGTCACTGATAGAACCAAGTTTTGTTTAACCTGATAGTTAGAAAACCGGGTCTGGGAATCAACAACAACAAAAATCCTTGTTCTAAAACCACGGCAAATTAATGACCTTTGTTTAAAACTCTTCTGAGATACCCACGTTCCTTCCTCAGACTGCAGGTTTCTTTCTAGATCTATGCACATGCTCTAGGTATGCCTGACCCTGGCATTCACTGCAGGTCTCTGTATACTGAAGTGACCATGAATCAGGACTAGACTACCAGAAATGTCTAGTCAAAAGATTGTCATTCAAGATTCACATTAAAACCCAACTTCCAGAAGAGAAAACATTATCACAGTTTGTCAAACAGTGAGACCTGTATAAATTCCTTCTCTCTAGCTCTTAAGATTGGCTTGTACAAGTCATTAGAAAGACAGTTACCATTCTGTAGGGAAGCTCTGGGTGAGGGCAGAGTCTCTCACAGTATACATGGGACTGTTTGTTCTAGAACCAGCAGGAGAGTTGATCTAAACCACAGGGTCTGAATCCTGATTCCAGACCTTCTGAATCAAAGTTTGCAGGTGAAGGAGTGGTCTTCATTTTTAACAGACTCTCCAGGAACTTCTTTGATCATTAATTATGAGAATTTGGGGAAGACAGTTCCTAAAATGCTTTACCCCCTTGATTTCTGAAGTAGCAGTTCTTAACCTGCCAGATCTTCACTGAGAATTAGGCTCTGTTCTATTCTACCTGGGATGCCCAGTTCAGCTTTGCAGGCATTCATGGAGTCTCTACTATGGATAACAAGGTTGCAAAACCAAGATATTGGCCAGGCTTAAGAGTTCAGAGTCTGATGAGAGTAATGCACATGTAAAGGGCAAGGTAGAGTTGAATTCTAATGGTAAATGCAAGTGTGGAGCTAGCACAGAGGCCAAGGGAACAGCAGGAGGGAGAATTCTCTACACTAACAGGGGCAGGGACTGCAGGCTGGGAGGGCTTCCTGGAGGAGAAGGCATGGTTCTCTACAGGTTACTCAGTACCTTCTGCTGCTTTGAGCTCCTTGCTGTTCTCTACTGAAACAGCAACTCAGGACACATTTGTTTCCTACATAAGCATCTCATCTACAGCCTCACTTCTAGAATAGGATTTCTTCTTTGATTATTTATGTACATAATTTGACTTCTTTCATCCCCTCTCCATATTTTCCGGTTTCCCACCCACCTGGCCTCGTATACACACACTCTTGCATTTGATATCTGTGGAAAAGGACTGTTGACTCCTATTTTTGTATTCACCCCCGTGCCTGGAAACTCATAGGCACTCCATAAATATTCATCAAATTGAAGGTATGCACAGCATCATTTCTTGAAGTACTTCCTTTATAGCAAGAGCTCTGTGCCTGCGTATTAAAGATTTTGCCAGCCTCTTTCTCTTACATAAACACATCCAGAGCTAACTAGGCAAATACATGATTATCATATCGAGAGTCAAGGAGGACTCAAGCCTCCTCTGACACCACGGAGGAGACTCTAAGGAAGTGGCCGGTGAGCACCGAGTGGGGTTCAGTGAACAGGAGCCCAGCAGCCCTCCACGCCCTTCCTGCTCTCTGGGAGCTCAGATGAGAACAGCTGCCTCTTCTTCAATGTTTTGTCCTCCTGGAGTCATATCCCTTTCCTTCCATAGGGAAATTCTATTCCAACTGCCTTCTTCTTTCAGTTCAAAGCCTGCCTTCGTGGGGTTATTTATCTTGTTCACCAATGTCAGGAGCATCCCTTGAAAATAAAGAATAGGTATCCCCTGTCGCCAACAATGTGTTAGCGTCGGGGTGCACGTATTACATGTTTACCGCCTCCTAGTAACAAAATGAGCCCCATTTGTTCCATCCATTGTTAGAGTAAGTTATATCCAAATACTTGGTGGGTGAATGAATCAACTTTAGGGACTGAAGATGCAGGGGAAACCCACAGGTATCCTCTAAGCTGTTCTATTGGGAGTGGACGAGAAAACAGGAAAGGGTTTATTAACTAAGTAACAAGCTGGGTTTAGGGGTGACAACCTCCCTGGTCTTTCAGAGGACAGAACATTGAGAACTTGGGAGAAAACAAAAACAGAAAGTTACTTTGAGGCTCCATCCAGTCTTCCTAGTTGTGACTATTCCAACTAGTTTTGCATGTGTGTGATTAGACATCGCATTTCCTATGCATGTAGATGAATTATGCATTTCTTTTCTCCTTTCTCCAATCTAGGTTTGCCAGAATTTGACAACCATTTAGGAATGCCTCTGATGAATCTCTTCCATCTGAATATCCGGAAATTGTCCAACTTGCAGTCTGCTTGGAATTGACTGTTATATTTGCAAGGGAGTAAGCAGCTGGATGATGGAGGGGGGGGAGAAACAAATTTGTCTATGGGACTTCTGTTTAAACCCTCAGTTTCCCCTCACAATGGTAACATGCTTATGAGAAACATATGAATTTGCTTTTCCTTTGCGAACACTGGAGGTTGAAAAGGAAAGGACGAGGGTGGGTGAGAGGGAACAGAGCGCTGGAGTGAATGGCCCTGTCACTCCCTCAGGCCCTGGTTCTCAAGCATTAACTTTCACTGGAGAATCCTGTGTGGGGCTTGTAGAAGGGTGGATTCCTGGGTGTGCCAGATGGTGGGAACCTGTGCCTTACTGACCTGCTTTAATTGGCCACTGAAAATAAGTTAATGTCATCAATTCCAGCTGGGAAGTAAAGAAATGCAGTTTGCACATTCAGTGCCACGTTGTGCCAGTTGGTCCTTCTTTCCACACGGAACCTTTCTGTCCTCTAAGTGGGTTAGGGACATTCCTGTTGCCCACCAAGGTGACCTGGACCTGCAACAAGGGAATGTCACCGTATCTTGGTTCTACTGGGTTTAAGGGCTGAATGTCCCACGTGACACTGCAGATGTCCTCACCACCCAGCATGCCTTGGGAATCTGAGACGTTGATGAAGCCTTTGTCAAAATCCACTGTGTGTTTGATTCTACAGTCTCTCATTTATTCATCCACTTAGTAAATACATATTTAGTCCAACCATGTGCTGAAAGCCAGGCTTGCTGGTGTTGACAACAAAGAAGACAGATGAGGCCCTGCACCTGTGAGATGATGTGTGTAGGTAGGCTCCGGTCACTCTAAAACAGGTAGGACAGCCATTTTTAAAAAGCTTTTATTGTAAAAATACAGAAAACAAAGTTAAACAAAGTGTGAATTAATAAATTATTATAGGGAAAAGACCCTTTTAAGAATCAAACATGAAGAGAGACAAAACCTAGCTAGCCATATGGCAGGCTTCAGGTCTCCTTGGAAAGCCCCACCCTGGGAACTCCCACTGACCTTATTTCCATGGTAATTACTTCTGTACCTTACCTGTACTTCCCTCTCCCCTGTGCCCCCTCCAGACCAACACACAGCACTTCCTGTTGTTGGCTGGTTGGTCTCACGTGTCTTTGGGGTGTCTTTAGTGCATTGGTTCCTCCACCAACCTCCACCCCATCCCCAGCCTTTGGCCTTTGACGTTTGTTTCTGATGGAAACCGGATCCTCTGTCTTGGCTCTGTCTTGTGGCTTTCTCAGCTGGAGTTTTGCAGGTTGCATTCCTGTGGTGAAGTCCAGCGTTCCCTTCAGTCGTCCACATTTCCTGCCGATGGATGGTTGATTTTAAAGCTTCATCATTTTTAGTTTTGGGTTTTTGGGGGACAACTTTTTCAAGGGTGGTGTCAAAGTCTTCATCAAAAGGGACACAGTATCTATGCCATCAGTAGCCATTTCTGCTCAATGCTTAGACCTTTGCCGTTTTAAGAATGGAAAAGTTGATGAAATTCTATATCTTCTTATTGATTCGTGGGGCTGTCTGTACAGGGAAACATCTACCGTCTGATTGCTCAGTGTTGATGTTATAGGAAAGGGAGAATGGATGCCCACCTCTCTCCCCTTATTTACCTTTTTCAAATCAGAGTTAGTTCCTTAGCATCTTTCAAGGGTGGTGGGATGCTATGTGTGATCATTTTATATGTATGAAGAAATTCTGGTTCATATGTAGATTTGTGCAGAAAGTATGCCTCTCAGCTTCCAAACTCTGCATACTTTATCCCTCAACAAGATGCCAAAAAGGTTGGGAAAGTAAATCAAAGTGTGAAAAGAATCCATAGAGAGTAACTCAACTTTTAACATTCAACCAGCTTTTTTTTCTTTTCTTTCTTTCTTTCTTTGTTCTTTCTTTCTTTCTTTCTTTCTTTCTTTCTTTCTTTCTTTCTTTCTTTCTTTCTTTCTTTCTTTCTTTCTTTCTTTCTTTCTTTCTTTCTTTC